AAAAACGTAAGGCTTTCAGAGTGGTAGAGAGACTTCAGGCAGTGAAGTTAATTGGGCATGTGGAGAAGTTAAGGCAGCATGACTTTCCAACAACACTTGGAAATCTGGGAATAGAAATTGATGGAGTAGATTAAAGGGATTGGGTGTTGGTAGGAGGTGAGAAAGTCCTGTCCAAGCAAGAGCATGTTTGAGGTGAATGCCCACAGGAACCAGAATGAGTCAGAGATAAGTAAAGGCAGAACAGGGCTGAGAAACTAGGGGAATCTCAAAAACATAAGAACTTCAGTGAGTTACAAAGTAGCTTTAATAAGAATTAGAGATATTGGGAAAGATTGTTCTAAGCAAGAGTTTTCAAAGCAGAGATTTCAAAGCAAAGAGATACAGAGCAGTCTGGTAACTTGTCTTGTGTCACACAGCTAGTGAATGATAGAGCTAGGATTTAACCTCAGGAGGTTTGGTTTCAGAGCTTGTAAGTTTAACCTTTATATTATATTGCCTATTCTTACATTCTTGAATATTTAGAAATATTTGTTCCCATAATAGTACTTAAAACAGCAGACATATAATTACATCACTTACCATAGGCTAGGCAGTATTCTGAATGCTCTGCTTCTATTAACTGTTTTAATACAACAGTCCTGTGAGGTGTGTATTCTTACTGTGCTACCTTTGCAGCTTAGGAAGCTCAAGAGAGTTTGAGAAATTTGCTCAAGGTTTCATAATTAAGTTGGCAGAATCAGGTTTGAACTCAGTCTTGTTCTAGAGTCTGCTCTAACCATTAGGCTAAATTTCTTCTATTGCCTTAATACGTAAATATCACATTGACTTAGTGTGTAATTTTGGGGTCACCTGTTCTTCAGAACCTGTATTATCATAGTTCTGTATTCTATGATGAATGTTTCTGTGGGAAACCCTGATTTTATTTTAGTTTTTTCTTTAAAGTCCAGCAGTTTGACTAGGACCTCTCTCTCTATTGGTTTTTTTGTTTTTTTTTCTGGAATATGTACCATTTAAATCTGTGGCTTCCAGGTCTTTCCCCCCATTTCCTGGAAAATTTTCTTTAAATATTGTTTCCCGTACCTTTATTTCTTTCTGTGTATGTTACATGTTCTTTGATTTTCCATAGGTGATATTTTATTCTAGTCCATTACGTTTTTCTGTTTAATTTTGCTTTCCTCAATCCTGTTTCCCACATTCTTGCCATTTATCAGTGGCAAGCCTCTTTTATACTGGTTTCAGTGTGGCTTTCATGTCTCTGATGGTTCACTTTCCTTTTTCATACTCTTGAGCTATGCTAGCTCAGCTTTCATTTCTGTTGTTTTGCCATACCTTTTCAAAGCTCTTTGTGTCTGCTTTAAGCTATTGGATTTTTTTAGGAGGAATTGTTTTATTGAATGATGTTAAATCATGGCAGTATCCTTGGTCATAATTTTTATTTGCTTTATGGCAACGTTTTTCTCGTGAGTTTTCTTTTATTGCCATTTGTTCCCTTTCACTCTTTACTGATTGATGATGACTTCTATTTGCATGTCTTTGAGTTTTTTCTGGACTAACTGTTTTCAAGAGATTCTTATATAGGGGTTTGGGTCATAGCTGTGCCCCAGACTAGAAGGAAACATCCCTGTTTAGTTATGACTCGGGGTTGCATGTGAGTTCTTTCAGATTTGGCTTCTGCTCCTATAACAGAGACCAGAAGCTTAAAGATTCCTTACAATGTGGAATGCTGTGCCCACGGTCTTTTCTGAACACAGGTCTGTGTGTTTACTTACTCAGCTTGCCTGCCTGCCTTCTTGGTGTAGAACTTGCCCAGGGAAGTTCAAACCACCAGTCGTGCACCCAGGCTTTGTTTCTGCACAGGAGAAGTTCATTTTCCCCTCAGGGCATGCCATCTGTTTTGAAGGACTGTGCTCTGGAAGGTCTGTTTTGAGATCTGCAGCCTTATCTTTTGGCGGCTTCCTATCTGAGTTTAACTGCATTTGACAGCCATTTCTCATACATTTTGTTTTATTGTTACAAATCTTTCATGGTTTCATTAAAGATAGAGTTTGCTTTTCTGTTTTTCATTTTTGTTTTGAGGTGATTTCCAGAGAAGAGAACAATGCTATTTTTATTTCACTGTGTTAGAATAGGAACTATTATTAGAATATTTAACATTTCGTCATATTAACATTTTTGCCCTTAGGTATTTTAATGAAGGGACTGTCNCACAGCTTGACAGTTAGTGAGTGTGCCTAGTACCGAGTGTCCATGTTTTACTGTTGTCTCCTCTGCTTGGGCCAGATGGCCATCCTGGATTGATATTCTGATTATAGAATTGTAACAATTTCCTCTTACTTTTAGGTACTCCAATTCAGAATTCTTTGAAGGACTTGTGGTCTCTTCTTTCCTTTTTAAAACTCAAACCATTTATTGATCGAGAGTGGTGGCATAGAACAATACAGCGTCCTGTCACAATGGGAGATGAAGGAGGACTTAGGTAAGCAATTTCATGAGAACTGATTAACATTAGCTACAAATCTCTGTTAGCAGCTTGAACCAGTTGCCACTTTCATTACTATTGTAGCTTGACTGTTGGCTTTTCTCTCCAGAAAGTGTTTACAGTTTCATGCCTTTGACTCTCAGAACCTTGTTTGGGAGACAAAAATTTCTAACCACCACTAAAACACAAAGCCTCCCTTCCCATGATTTTGGTGAAACTGAAAGGAAAGGCAGAGCTTTATGGTCTTTGTGTGTTGCCATTACTCCCGAAACCACCATTCATAATTTAAGTAGTGACAGGAGAAATAATGTATGCTCTGAGGGTCCAATGTGCACTGCATTTTCATAGCTTACCTTGTATAGCTTTATATAGTGGTGATTGAATGATGCACAGTGGCACCAACAAGAGTTTCATAAGAGAAAGTTGTTTCTAGTGGAGACAGATAAAAGTTGAGGACATAAATAAAATTCAACTTTTGGTGATTGCCATTTTTCAAGGTAATAGGCTAACGTAGTTGAAGGTTTTTGTCTAGAGTATTGGTTTTCAGACAGAGAGCTTGGGATTCATTAGCAGATTGTGAAATTATTTAAAAAGATGGCAGCTAGCATTAAAACACAATGAA